AAATAGTCCCGCCTCATCATCTTTACTCTGATCATCATCATCATCATCACCACCATCACCACCACCACCATCATAATCACCATCACTAACACCATCCGCATCATCCGGCTCATCCCAGCTCTACTGCTGGCCTCTGACGCTCAATGAGTGTTTATACGCTTCCATGCCTCCAACAATATGGTCTTTTTCAATGCTTCCATGCTTTCATGCTTCCAACAATGTTTCCGTGCGTATACGTTTCCAACAATCTTCCATGCTTCCAACAATATGGTCCGTTTCCGCGTTTATACGCTTCCATGCTTCCATGCATCCAAAAATGAGTGTTTACACGTTTACATGCTTCCATGTCTCCGAGTATCGCTTCTGGATGGGCGGGCGGGACCACGCGAAGCGTCGAGAACTGAGGAAAGCCCACCACGCTCCTCGCTCCCCTCCGCCTCCCGGCGGCGAGCGGCCGCCTGCACCCGGGGAGCCAGGAGGAGAGAGGCGGGAGGGAGGAGAGCCAAGTGCTCGCGCGCGCCGTGTCTGACATCCTACCCCGACCACCTGCCCCTAGCAAAGGGCCAGAAGCACGGCGGTGCTTCGCAGATGCCTTCCCCCCTTCCCCCTAACGCCCCCGGGTGCTCGCGCGCGCCGCCGCCGCCGCCGCCGCCGCCGCCGCCGCCGCCGCCGCCGCCGCCGCCGCCGCCGCCGCCGCCGCCGCCGTCGTCGTCGTCGTCGTCGTCGTCGTCGTCGTCGTCGTCGTCGTCGTCGTCGTCGTCGTCGTCGTCGTCGTCGTCGTCGTCGTCGTCGTCGTCGTCGTCGTCGTCGTCGTCGTCGTCGTCGTCGTCGTCGTCGTCGTCGTCGTCGTCGTCGTCGTCGTCGTCGTCGTCGTCACGTCGTCCACGTCGTCATCGTCGTCGTCGTCGTCGTCGTTCGCCACCTCTCGCCGCCGCCGCCGCCCGCCGCCGATCGCCGCCGCCGCCTGCCGGCCGGTCACGGGCGGCGAGAGAGAGGCGGGAGGGAGGAGAGGCGGAAGGGAGGAGAGCCATGTCTGACATCCTACCCCGACCGACCCTTCCCGTGGCGCAGTTTGTGGTTGTGCACCCGCCGACCTGGTGTCCGAGCAGACCTGGGTCCCGCGAGTGGCCCCGTCGTGCGATGGGCAGTCAGAAGGGCGACCTGTGTACACTGGAGGGGGAAGTGGCGGCTGAGCAGGCGGATAGGCAGGAGGATCGGGGATGGACAGAACCCCCTTTAGTAAAACGTGGTTTAGTGAAAACGACCTGAGGCCCAAACCTGGCGGGCGCAAGCCTGGAAAATGACGGCCACGGCGCCCTCTCGAGAACCGAAAACGGACAATTCACTAATCGACGTGTCACTGTTGGGGGTTCTGTCCACCCCCGAGAGGAAGGGTAGGATGAGGAAGAAGGAGGAGGAGCAGCAGCAGCAGCAGCAGGAGTAGCGGGATGAGCAGAGGGCCAGCAGAAGGCAGAGGAGGGGAAAAGGGGGGAGCGACAACGACGAGGAAGGAATCGGATCAAGAAATGGTGTCCGCGCTGGGGCGAGAGCGCCATTTTGAACGGCAGGAGCAACATGCCAATCCTGAGCTGAGGCCAACGCTGCAGCCGGATTATCACTCTGAGATAGTGACACATCGCTCCGACTGTGAGAATGCATTGCGAACTCTGGCATGCGGAAACAAAAACACAAGCACGCAAACAAACAAACAAACAAACAAACAAAGAGAATCATCATAACATACAATCAACGAAACAACAAGAATTTGGCGTCGCGGCCACGCGCTCGCAGGCGCGGGGCAACACAAGCCAGGCGAGCGCGCGGACCGGCGCAGCTCACGAGGCCTGCAGAAGCTGGGTCAAAACCCTGGCGGGGGAGCAGCCGCGAGGGGACGGACGGGGGAGAACGGGGGGAAAGGGGGGGGGGGAAGAGGAAGGGGCGAAATGGGGGGAGAAGGGGGGGGGAGAAGGGGGGAGAAAGGGGGGAAGGGGGAGGAAGGAAACGAGGACAACACGGCGCAGTGCGGCGGTGACAAGCCGAGGCAGCAAGCGAGGCAAAGCGGGAAGGCAGCAACGGCAACCAACCAGGAAGGAGGGCCAGGGCAAGAAGCCTCCCAGATGGGGTCGGAGCAGATGGGGTCGGACGACTTCGCCGCATCGCCGAGACATCGGCGATGCGTCGTCGATGCGTCGGCGACGCCAGCGGTGCAGCGGCGACGTCCGCGTGGGGAAGATCGGGCTCCGCATCGAGCCGCATCGTCGATGCATCGGCGACAAGGCGGGATACTCCGACCCCAGCTGCTCGGACCCCATCTTGGGAGGCCTGGAGAGGCAACGCGCGGAGTCCAGGCCGATCACGGGGCTAGGACATCCGAACACACACACACACAAACGCACACACACTTTTGCGTCGGCGGCTGCTGGGCCGAGGTCGATTGCTCCGGCGGATAGGCAACAGAGGACGCGCTGTGTGCAAATTGGGGCCGCCATGCACAGGAGGAGGACGAGGATCCTCGGCGCGACAAGGGAGAGAGGAATCCGGGCCACTCAGAGCTGCCGAAAACACACACACACACACGTTGCCTCCAGCCGCGGGGTGACAGCACCACAGCTTGTGCTAAGAACGTACTAACACAAACACACACACACAACACAACACAACACAAAACAAAACAAGAGCCCTGGAAACAGAGGTTCAGGGAAGAAGGGGCTTAGTTCCCTAATCGCGTTTCGCTCTCAAGAGTTCTACTTGAGGCCTGGAAATTGGCACCAACACCAGCTTAGGGGGGTTGCCTCCACATGGAGCAGACGGTCCTAAATGTCGGTGCTGGTGGTAATAGTTCGGTGGACCTTGGAAGCCAGAATATTACCACCGTCACCGAGATCGGGATCGTCTTTCCTCGGCGGATGCACACCGCCGATCTTGGTGTTGGTGCCAACCTCTAGGCCTGCGATCTACTGGAGGCAGCAAAGGACTCCAGAAGAGTCCCAGAAAAGGAACAGGGAGCCCCAGACCGCCCCCGTCCTGCAGCCAGTGCGCAAGCCGTTTCGCCTGAGACTTCCTGTCAATTTACTCAAGAACCGCATTATCGCCTCAATGCTGGCTGCATTTGTGCTCTGGAGATCGGCAACGATCCCTCGTAAAACAAAACGAAGGTGCGCGTAGCGCTTCGCTAGAGGATTCGAATGATAGGTAGAGAAACACAAAAAACATTCAAAGAGCCCGAGACCGCCTGGTCCTGCGGCGCTCCGGCGGCGGTTTCGCCTGAGACACCCTCAATTTACTCAGGAATCGTGCCCCCGACTTCCTCACAGCCTATTCCGGAATCGCGCCCTCGCCTCAATGCTGGCTGCCACGGGGGGGGGCGGGACGAACACGACCCCTTGCAAAAAACCAAGGGCCACGGAGAAATCCCACAGGGGGGACGGGGAGCCTGACACCGCACGGTCCGGCGGCCGTTTCGCCTGAAACTTCCTCACAAATGATTCCAGAACCTTGCAATCGCCTCAACGCTGGCTACCACAGGGGGCACGGGACGGCCACGATCCCTTATGAACCACACCCTACAATGATGATCATCATCATCATCATCATCATCATCATCATCAGCAGCAGCAGCAGCAGCAGCAGCAGCATCAGCATCAGCATCAGCATCAGCATCAGCATCATCATCAGCATAATCGTCATCATCATTATCATCATCATCATCATCATCAGCAGCATCATCAACATCATCATCCTCATCATCATCATCAGCATCATCATCATGATCATCATCATCATCATCATCATCAATCGTCATCATCATCATCATCATCATCATCATCATCATCATCATCATCATCATTATCATCATCATCCCCACCATCATCATCATCATGATCATCATCATCATCATCATCATCATCATCATCATCATCGTCATCATAATCAGCAGCGGCAGCATCATTATCATCACCACCATCATCATCATCCGCAGCATTATTATAATCATCATCAGCATCAGCATCAGCATCGGCATCATCATCAGCATCATCATCGTTATCATCACCAACATCACCATCATCAGCAGCAGCATCATCATCAGCAGCATCAGCAGCATCATCATCATCACCACCACCACCACCATCATCATCATCATCATCATCATGATTGTCAGCATCATCATCATCAACATCATCATCGTCATAATCAGGACATGGGGTCCTGCAGGAATACAGGAGGTCAAAAGAGTCCCACGGAAGCGCCCCCACGGGGGGGACGGGGATCCTGAGGACGCCCGGTCTGGCGGCGGTCCGACGGCGGTTTCGCCTGAGACTGAATACACAATTCACTCCAGAATCGTGCTATCGCCTAAATGTCAGCTGCCTTTTTGGTTCAGACGGCCACGTTCCCGTGCGCATAAGCAGTGTGGTAGGGTGCGCACACAATTACATACCCGACCGCACTTCCAGCTCTCCGTATTCCCAGAACTCCACTACCGCGTACGATTCGAACATCAAAGAAAAACACCTCATAGCAATTCCAGCTCTTCGTGTTGCCAGAACTTCACTCCCGCAAATGCTTCTGACGCGAAAGTGAACACCCTACCGCACTTCGTGCGATCCCTGAGAAACCCGAGGAATAACTCGGAATGCGCGTTTTCACTGGCCGACGTCCTACTCCTAGACCCGCATCTTCACCGTTGCTGCTGCCAGTGTGCTTTGCTGGGGTACCTTTCATATCGAGTGGTTGCGGGGGAGGCGGGAGTGAGGGTGACTACCTACCAGACCACCCCAACCCAACCCGAAGACCCGAATTTCGGGTTGGGGGGGGTACGGGTTCCATATGTGTTTTCTCGATGTTCCCCGACCCCCCCCAACTGGAAATGGAGGTCAAATGGAGGCCTTCGGGTTGGGTTGGGGTGGTTTGGTGAGTGGTGAGAGGGAGGAATAGTGAAGGAGGCCTCGGAGAGAGCGCGGCGCCCCGCGGGGACGGGCCGAGCAAAGGGAGGCACACTCCTGCTTCATCGTCCGGACCAGCGACGAGATCTGCTCGCAGAAGTCGTCGTACACCTGCACCGCCCGACACGGATCGAGCAGCCCTGCTCGCTCTGCCAAGCAGGAGGGAGGAGGGAGGGAAAGAGGGAGGAGGGAGAGAGGAGGGAAAAGAGGGAGAGGAGGGAAAAGCTCCCTCCCCCTCCTTCCTCTCCATCCTCCCTCCCCCTCTCCCTCCCCCTCCGCCTCCCCCTCCCACTGCACCTCCTCCTCCTCCTCCTCCTCCTCCACCTCCTCCTCCTCCACCTCCTCCTCTTCCGTTTCCTCCTCCTCCTCTTCCTCCTCCTCCTACTGCTCTCCTCCTCCTCCTCTCCTCCTCCTCCTCCTCCTCCTCTCCTCCTCTCTACTGCTCCTCCTCCTCTTACTGCTCCTCCTCCTCCTCCTCCCTCCTCCTCCTCCTGCTCCTCCTCCTCCCCCTCCTCCTCCTGCTCCTCCTCCAGCTCCTCCTCCCCCTCTCCACATCCTCCTGCTCCTCTTCCTCCTCCTCCTCCTCGTCATCATCATCATCATAATCATCATCCTCATCATCATCATCATCATCATCATCATCATCATCATCATCATCATCATCATCATCATCGTCATCATCATCATCATCACCATCATCAGCAGCATCATCAGCATCATCGGCATCATCATCATCATCATCATCATCATCATCAGCATCATCATCATCAGTGTCATCATCTTCCTCCTCCTCCTCCTCCTCCTCCTCCTCATCATCATCATCATCATCATCATCAGCATCGTCCTCCTCCTCCTCCCCCTCCTCCTCCTCCTCCTTCTCCTCCTCCTCTTCCTCCTCCCGCTCCCCCTCCCCTTCCTTTTCCTCCTCCTCCTCCTCCTGCTCCCTGCTCCTTCTGTTCCCTGCTCCTCCTCCTCCTCCTCCTCCTCCTCCTCCTCTTCTGTTATGTTTCTTCTTCGTATTATTAGTAGTATTATTCATACTAGTTGCAGCAATAGTGTTATGTTTCCTCCTCCTTTTCTCCACCTCCCCCCTTCCACCTCCTCCTCCTTCTACGCCTTCCCTTCGTAGTAGTATTCCTGTCACTTGTTCTTATTACTAATAGCAGTAGTATCATAATTCGTGTTATTAGCATTGACGATGGCAGTAGTAGTCTTCTTATTCTCTACATTAAGAAATTAGTGTTCGTCTTATTCGCCTTATGCACATCATTAATACGCCTCCTCTTAGTAATACTAATATTCTTGTTGTTATTATTATTATGAATACTTGTATGTGTATTGTAAGTGATATTAGTACTAGTGTGCTTAGTCTCAGTAGTACAAGTTTTCGTCGGTCGTATTATGTTCCTTAGTCACATTTATAATATTGTTGTTAGTCTTAGTCGCCGAATTATTCGTATTGAGTTATCTGTTTTGTTAAGTGTCTTCCTTGTGTTAGTATTAGTAGTATGATTCGTATTCGCCGTCGGATTCTTCTTAGTTGACATTCCCAGCTTAGAATTACTTTCTGTTTCGTATGACTACTATGTTTCGTCTTAGCTTTATTATTAGTCTAATGATATTCTTCTTATTAGTACTTTCTTCGTAGTCTAACTATTGGTATTGTCATGTTCTTACTATTCGTAATAATAGTGGTATGCCTAGTAAGTTGTTATTATTAAGCGTATTAGTATTGTTGTTCGTCTGTTCAGTTTTCTTAGTGTTCGTATCATGCTTCTTCTCACGCTTAGTCTTACTATTTGTAATAGTTTTCTTCGTAGTATTAATATTTGTATTAGTCGTATTATTCTTCGTCTTTTTCTTCCTCCTCCTCCTCTTCCTCCTCCTCCTCATCTTCCTCCTCCTCCTCTTCCTCCTCCTCCTCCTGCTCCTCCTCCTCCTCCTCCTCCTCCCCCTCCTGCTCCTCCTCCTCATCATCCTCCTCCGTTTCCTCCTCCTCCTCTTCCGCCCTCCTCCTCCTCCTCCTCCTCCTCCTCCTCCTCCTCCTCATCATCATCATCATCATCATCATCATCATCATCATCATCATCATCATCATCATCATCATCATCATCATCATCATCATCATCATCATCATCATCATCGTCATCGTCACGTCATCATCATCATCAGCATCATCATCAGCAGCATCAACATCAGCATCAGCATCAGCCACAGCATCAGCATCAGCATCAGCATCAGCATCAGCATCAGCATCATCATCAAAATCACCAACACCAACACCATCAGAATCATCACCACCACCACCATCATCATCATCAGCAGCAGCATCATCATCAGAATCCTCCTGGTGCGGCCGCGGTCCCTGCACCCATTCCTTTTTGGAACGGGTGGCCACTGGGGTCAAGCGTATGAGGAACGCCCAACGCATTACTTCAACGATGCTCTTGGCGACCGGAGGCCGCCTTCGGGCCCCGGGGCCGTCGGACATCATGATAACAGGCAACGGGGCCCCCGCGACTCAGAAGGGGGTACCACATTTCTCCGCCCCCACGGCGCGGTTTTGAATCGAAGGCACACCGGGGAACACGACAGGACCCCCTTCCCAATAACAGGAATAAAAGCAGCAACTCTGCACGCCTAGGGACGACGTTCCTTCGGAGGAAGAAATGGGAGGAGGAGGAGGAGGAGGAGAAGGAGGAGGAGAAGGAGGAGGCGGAAGAGGAGGAGGAGGAGGAGGAGGAGGAGGGGGAGGAGTAGGAGGAAGAGGAGGAGGAGGAGGAGGACGAGGAGGAGGAGGAGGAGGAGGAGGAGGAGGAGGGGGGAACGGAACCTAGGGGTCTGCGCCGCCCCACCCCCCTTGTTAGGCGCCCCTGGGGCCGCGGACCAGGTCGGCGCCGCGAAAAGGAGGAAGGGGAAGAAGAGGACGAAAGAGGAGGAGGAAGCAGAGAGGGGAAAAGGAACGAATTCCCCCCCACGCACGGGAGCTGGCCTACTCGAACTCCCAGGGCGCTATCGCGCCGAGCAGTGGCCAAGCGCCACCACACCTTCCACGGGCGCGCGGCCCCCGCGCTGGCGGCCAGCAGCGAGGCGGCGACGCCCCGCTGCAGCGACACGGCCAGCCGGCAGCGCAGCTCAGCGAGTCGCTCAACCAGTCGCGGACCCTCCGGCAGGACGGAGCGAGACCAGAGACGGAACTCGCGCCCCCAGCGCCCCCCCTGCCTCGAGGGCGGCCCGCAGCAGCTCTTCGCCGGGACAGCGCGGGGATAGCGCGAGTGCTTTGTGCGCTCTCGGTCAACTGCAGACAGGCCTGGGCGTCGGGCGCGGGCCCGCACGGCGCTGGCGACGGCCGACGCCGCCTCCGCGACCGACACGTCGATGAACAAGGGCCCAGGGCCCGCTGGGTCTCTGGGCACGCCCACGTCGAGCACCGGCCGTTCCAAGCCATCTGCGTCCGGGCGGTCCCAGCGGGGCACGCGCTGCTCCGTGAGCGTCTCTGGGTCCACGTGCTCGCAGCAACATTCGGCCAATTCGTCTCGGCAGTAGTTGTGTCACCGAGAGAGGCCAGGCCCCTTTTCGCAGTAGACGGCATGGCTGCCCCAGCGGGACCGCGCGGTACACCCGCATGCTCCGCGAGCACTGCGAGCCCAGAGCCTGCACGGCAGCGCCCCTTGCGCAGCTCGGTCTTCGAAGAGAAAGCGCCGCCGCAGACGGACACAGAACGCGTCGTCTGACAGCACGTTTCGGTCACGACACGCCGCCTGGAGCCACGCCCCGCCTTCGGCCGACTGCAAGTGAAGGAGCGCGGCCGCCTCGTTTTCCAGACCCGCCCTCAGATCCCGGGTCCGCCTCTTCCTCCTCCTCCTCCTCCTCCTCCTCCTCCTCGTCCTCGTCCTCGTCCTCCTCCTCCTCCTCCTCATCATCATCATCACCACCACCACCACCACCACCATCATCATCATCATCATCATCATCATCATCATCATCTTCATCATCATCATCATCATCATCATCATCAGCAGCAGCAGCATCATCATCACCATCATCACCATCATCATCACCATCATCACCATCATCATCATCATCATCGGCATCATCATCATCAACATCATCAGCGTCATGATCGTCATCATAATCATTTTTATGTATTCCTCTTCATCCTCCTCTTCCTCCTCCTCCTCTTCCTCCTCCTCCTCTTCCTCCTCCTCCTCCTCTTCCTCCTCCTCCTCCTCCTTTTCCTCCTCCTCCTCCTCCTCCTCCTCCAATCCTTTTCCTTCTCCTTGTCATCGAATTCTCCCTGTCGCACCCCCAGGCCAGTTTTTAGGGCGGGCCGGGCGTTTTGCCTGAGACTTCCTCACCATCTACGACTCTGAGGCCTAAAAATTGGCAGCCGTTCAACAGATGGAAGGCGGGTCGTTTTCAAAATGTGGCTCCCGCCTCAACGCGGCGCAGATTCGTTTTTTGAATTTGCAAGAGCTTCACTGATTGAGGGCGAGTAGTTTTCAAAATGTGGCTCTCGCCTTAGCGCGGCGCACCTTCGTTCTTGAAAATGTGCAAGAGCTTCACGGATTGAGAGCGGGTCGTTTTCAAAATGTGGTTATCGCCTTAGCACGGCGCACATTCGATTCAAAAATACTGAACAGCTCCACGGATTGAGGGCGACTGGTTTTCAAAATGTGGTTTTCGATTTAGCGCGGTGCTCATATTCGTTTGAAAAAAATTACAATGGCTTTACGGACCGAGGGCGGCTCCATTCCAAAAGTGACTCTCGCCTTGGCGCCGCGCACATTCGATAACAAAATTCTCAAGAGTTTCACCAATTCCCATCATCAACGTACCAGAAAGGTGCTTGGAAGGATTAAAGATTATGCGGACGCAACAGTTACGTTGATTTTCTATGTTGAAAACCTAGGATTGGCGTTCTGGCGCGATTCAGGATCGTCAAGACCCAACAGTCAGGTTGATCCGTGGCGTTGGACTCGCGAGAACAATGTTTTGGCATGCTTCAAGGTCTTCAAACGGGTGTCTTCCAACGAGGCTGTTCCCCCAATGGAAATGAACCGCTGTAGGGGCCTATGAAGAGGGAGCTTGGAGGGAGGGTGTACTCCAAC